ACCATTTACCTGGATATTTCCCCAGTTCTTGCAGTTTAGACTCATTGATGTCTGTAGCAATGACTTTGGCTCCTTCTTTAGCAAAAGCCTGGAGAATACAGAAACAGTTTATATTTAGATATTCCAGGTCATACCAGAAATAAAATCTGTTTTCTTTTCAGGTGCTTTTCTTTTCAGGTCCTTGAAATAGGAGCCAAGTCAAGCTGAAAGCAGCTATCTCTTAAGTTTTCATTCTGGGCATATCAGGGAGTTGCAGACAACTATTTAACTTTGTCTGATAAGACAGATTTAAGGTGTTTTCCCTAAAGGAAGGAATCCATAAACAAAGTATAAGAACAGTAACCCGACTGAGATAATGGAAATTATTATTGCCCTTATTAGCTGCAGTAGTGAGCAATGGGGCTAGAACTGTCTGTATTGTTAGATTTAAATCTAATTTAAATCCATTGTTAGATTAAAATGTTACAAAATTTGACAGGTAAAGGCAGAAGTCATAAACCAGGATTTTTAAAACAAAATCCTTTGTATCCAAGTAATTGGAATAGAACAATATTAAAAGCAGCATGACTTTTGATATTTAACCAGAGACACTGCTTCATTCCTGCAAACTCCTCAAAAGCCTCTTTTTATTGTGATTACTGATAAATCAACAGCTAAGGAAGTAAAAGTCTGTCAAAAGTATTCTGACATCTTGGACTGTAGCCCCTTATCTTCAAAATAGGTGTCCCAAGTGCAACTTAAGAGGACAGTGACATTAACCATACCAGCTTTCCATGGTTGGTTGGCTATTTACAAAGTGAAGCCATCAGGAGGATTACCTGCTCCTTGGACTGAGTGATTCATGTAAGAGCCAAGATCAGCAGTCTTCTGTGTTCTCAGCCACACTAATGAGAAACTAACCAGTCTGGCCAAAATGCTACAGGAGCTTTTCCTGAGCTGTTAATTACATTAGAGAGATAACAAGATAATTCTACTGGGTTTTTTATTTGCCATGGAAAAGGGAAGTAGCAGGAGAAGAACTGGTCAAAAGGAGTTATAAGCTAACTGGAAGTTAATACATACCTTAAATTCTGTTTAACAGTAATCAAACAAAATTCGTAAAGGGTTTCTTATAGTTGCTGATTGTGAACAATGTGCTAGTATCATGTGAACTTAGTTTTGTCAGTCATGAATATAGGTAAAATACCTTGGCTTTACTATAAGGGATCCTCACAGTATCCAGCCTTAGACCAGGAAATATTCCCTCTATCATCTCTGTTTCTCCCAAAACAAAGCAACAGAGATGTTGAGTAAAAGGTACAGGCAGTACCAACATATATTGTTAAAAAAGCAGATGCAGTTGTCCTCAAATCTGGTTCTTATCCTTGTCTAACATCTCCACTCAGAGCTGAAGATTTTCATAAATTGAAACAGCACAAAGCCTGCATGATACAGCATAGTGGCTACATTATTCCCAGATTTTTTCACTGATGTGAAAAAAATGTGCTTCTAGATCATCACATCTAGATGTGCTTCTAGCATCATCTGTGGTTTATTAATTCAAGAACTGGTTTGGTGCAGGTGTCACTGGACAAGCTAGAATGAGAGACCTTGCACAGGCCCAGCAGAACAAACATTTTCCAACTTACAATAGCAGCTGCTCGGCCAATGCCCTGTGCTGCTGCAGACAGCAGGATGATCTTCCCATCCAGCCGCCCCATGGCGCTGACCTGCACGGGAATGAACAGAAATTCAGCCAACAAGGCAACACCATCCCCCCCCCCCCCGGAATCAGATGCAAACATTCCCAAAACTAGACACGATCCAGGGTGTACCTCTGCCATCACAACTGTCCTGTGGCCCTCAGTTTTCCAGAGTTCTGAGAGGCAGGGCTGCCCCATCTTTTTCTTTTTTTTAGTAGTACGTAAAGGGCCTCAAGAAGTCAAAAGGCATTTATTTGAGCTCAGAATTTAAGCTTCATTATAAAAGAATTTTGATTTTATTTTTTCTTAAACAGGCAAAAAAAAAAAAGCAGTAAACAGGCAAAAAAAAAAAAATCTAGTGTTTCCACTATCTGTGGTATTCTCAGAAAGCAGGTCTGTCTTCTGTTTCTCTACAAACTTTTCCATGTCCTAGACTGCAATACATCCCACACAATGCCCTGGCCTTGGAATCTGCCCTCATCTGTCTTAGGAATCCTCCAGCACAGCAGGCTCCCAGTCCCAGTGAAGCAGGAAAGCGTGGGGGAATGAAGCCCCCAGTCTTGCCTCTTGTTCCCTGTTCTCAGGGAACACTGAGTGTGCCTGGGGCAGTAGGGAACCTCTAGAGCTGCTACCTTAGCCTAGGTGGAGCAGCCAAAAGGCAAAATACAGCCTTGTTTAAGTGCTGTGTTAGGTTTAACGAAATACAGCATACAAAAATGCAGGCAAACCAGTGAAAACAAATACCAAATCTCAAAGAGCTTCCTAAAAAGTGAGGTCCCTGTGTTCTAGTCACAGTGAAATATCTGGAGTTTGTTAATTGGGTTCCCCATAAGCTGAACTGCTGCATTCTCATACTCCTCCAAGCAACTTCGTCTATGTAGATATGGGTGTAGAAAGATGTCATAAGAACAAAGTCCTTAAATATACACATCAAGTACTTCACTGGGAAATTAAAATAAAGGTACCATAATCTTCCCTATGTTAGCAGCCAGTGCTGTCCTCTAGAGATGTTCAAATCCATGCTGTGACTCAGATTACTGAGTCAAATTTAGTATCCTACCTTTTGAATAAATTATTTTATTTTGATCAGAAATTCTGTATTGTTAGATTTTTTTCCTAACAAAAGTTGCACCAAAACTGTTTCCTGAAGGTTACACATTCAACAAAAGAGACTTCTGAAGCAACGTAAGGGAAGAATTTTTTTCTTTCCAAAAGCCACCTGGACCAGTTCAAGTACTTCCCCAAAATGCCTTAACACGTGGGAAGCAAAATGCATTATAAATACATTTTTCAATCTGTCATGTTTTATGAACATTTGCCATACTGATTCTATGAAGCCTTTTCAAATAAATATTAATACAGTCACTCACCAAGAGATCTAGAACAGCTTTGCTATATTCACCGACCCTTGTACCAAAGGAAGTTCTATATTATTTTTTTTCCCCTGTGCTTTTTGGGATTTGTAGTCCAACCTGGACGAACGTAATTTCCTGTTGAAATACTGAGATGCTGCCATCTAGTGAAACTGAGGATTTTAAAAAAGCGTGATTTTTCTCCTGCACACGAAAGGACACAAAAGTATCACCCAGCATTAGCTGACTCTTACAATGGGAATTCAAGAGATCAGTAGGATTCCCACCAAAAAAGCCACAAACCTGTTTTTCCAAGCAATGTCTTTCTGCAATGTAAATTATCAAATTCCAAACCAGGACAAAACTTATGTGACTATTTTTTTATTGTTGTTAAACTGGAGATTTGCCAACTTATCTTTTGTTTCTAGTGGTTTAACTAGCATATATTAAAGCAGAATGAATGTCATTAGACTGAAAAATTCTAGAACAAACTAATTTAGTTATAAGCTCACCCCAGACTTAAAGCTATCTGATAGTATTATTAAGGAATTTGGTGTCCTGCCTAAACATCAGTTAGTTCTCAGAAAAGCCACTTCTGTGGATAAAATGGGACACACATACACAAAAGTTCAGTTTATCCTGTGTTTCTGCTAAGATTTTCTTTCTTTTTAAAGCTTTCTAAATCAGCTCCCCAGTAAACAAAACCTGTAATGACTCAATTTGCTAAAAGCACTTATCCTTATGCCCCTAAGCTTTTGCCACCTGTTGCAATAAGTTTCTGCTTTTTTTAGTTCAATCACCAGAAAAATCACCAAACCTAGTTGTTTCAAGCAAGTAATAATTAACAAAAAAAAAAAAAGGAAATTGTATATAGAAGAGGTAGATATATATATACACCTTCTTTCCCAATTCTGGAAGAAAAAATATCAGTCTAATTCATTTATTAGAACAACAAAATGCTGGTGGCCAAAGGAAATCTCGTTCATCATAGTAGGAAAAAAAAAAAAAGTAGCAAACCAAACCAAACAAAAAAAACCAACCCAAAACAAACCCAGAAAACTTACAACCAACCTCAAAGAAACCACCACAGACCTACCAGCACTCTGCATTTATCCTTATCCCTGTCAGAAAATAAATACCTGTGGCTGCGGTCAGAAATAAGACATTGCAGTGCCCGACTCTGTAATGGTATTTGGAACCTGTATATCATCATGCCTTTAAAAGCTTTCCAAAACACATTCCAGGCTAGAGATTGAGATAAATCCTTGCAGCTTACAGGTACAGTAGTTGGCAGTTTTCAGCCATTCAAAGTAAATAGAAGGTTGATTCTTTACCAAAGAAGTACCTCCATCAGGTATAGAATCCTTGTGTGCCTCCTCCAGTTCCAGTAACTGCTGAATGCTCAGGAACATAGCAGTGGAGCCATCTGCTTGTCAGTTTGGGTGATCCTAACAGGACCTAGCATCACAGAGATTTATTCCTATAAAATAAGGATGATGCTTTTGATGCTTCCTTAGGGTATGACTTTCATCTCATGGTAATGATTTTATCCTTAATGGAGTTGATCACAGGTTCTGAGTGGCCAATTCCTATTTAGTTGGTAATGGAGGGCAGGAAAGAGAGGAGGATCTATATTTTAGACTTCAACCATTTTCTGATAGACCCAAAGAATTAAATAAAACTTTGACAATAGTAAATTTCTGCACAAGTAATTACAGCAGAAGGTTACAGAGGATGGAGACAAGAAGAAGAATAATAATGGAAGTGATGAAATCAGTATAAAAGACTAATTTGGTAACATTTAGACACAATGTGGCAGTCAGCATCCCTGGATCATAGCACAAGTGAACAGCAAAATCATTTTTACATATTTAACACAAACTTTATTGTCAAGTCAAAATTTCATATATAAAACATACAAAATGTAGGTCTCACAATACAGATAAGTAGGTTAATAAGAGTCCATCTTGCCCCAATGATCTGGTTTGTTTTCCCTTCGCTAGAGAAGCAGAAAAGTGCGCAGTCCATTGCTTCCTATTTTAAAAAAGTGCAATTAGACAACGTCAGACAGGTATATTGAAAAATGATGCAAAATTCAAAGTTACTCACTAAACCATAATTGGCTGAGCTGCAGAAACTTTTAAGGACTTTAAGAGAAACCCTTGATTGTGTGCTCTACAAACACAAGATCAGTAACTTCGGTTGCAGTGACCTAAGAAGTCAAGATTGTTGTGAAAACGTGGTTTTTCTTGGCCCAAAGAATATATGGTATAAAAACCACATGCTAAGAAACAAAGAATATTTCTTGCCAAGTCAACAGCACTCTGAAGATAGAAATATCAACACCTCAGAAAAGGGCTGGTTTAGGAATGACAGAATGAAAACTTTGAGACTGAGAAGTTTCACAGTAGATTAGTTTGTGATCCATTCCTTTTCCCTTTTTTTTTCAATACATTAGCTTCCCTTTCCTATTAAAAAAATCCACACCAAAACGCCAAAGTCGAACATCAGCAGCTTAGCAGGTTGTGGGGAAACATCTGGTTTTCCATCTTTGTACTCATATTCCAGCTTTCCCAGCTGTGAGAAGTAGAAACTCCAAGACAGCAAAGATGGAAGCAGCTGATGGTTTTTAACCTGAAGCAATTTTCTTTTGTATATGCAGATCCTGGCTGTAGGCACTGTAAGGACAGCTTACAACAGAGCATCTTTACTGGGTTTTGCAGTCAGGGGCTTTATCTCTGCCTGGAGTCCCAAAGAAGTGCCTCAGATGTTCTTCTGTGGACTCTCTGCCCTCAGGTCGTGCATCTGTACAGAAGACAAGAACATTAAAGCCTTTCTTAGTTAGACAAGCAGCAGGAGTACAGTGATTTAATCTTGATTAGTGTTTTGTCTGTCAGCTATGAAAGCTTCCCTCTGGGGAGCTTTGTGTTGTGAGGAAAGCTGTGCTGTTACCAAGTGGCCATCACAAAACCAAATAATGAGTCATGTTCTTTCTGGAAGCCTGCTACTAATACCTCAAAAGCTGGCTACTCTTCAACATGTCTGCTGGGGCCTTCTGAAAGCTGTGAGAAGCATGAGGGCAGAAGGTCACTAAAAGTCATCAGGCCAGATACAAGAAATCTGAAGTGATGCTGAGGAACAGAAGTTCTCATCAAAACAGCTATTACTGCAGCTGGGACCAGGCAGAGTAGCAAATGCAACATCAAAGGCTAAAGTCTACCATCTTGAAAAACTTCAGAAAAAAGCTAACCAGTTAACTTTATATAGTTTTACCAGAAATCTGTGCTTAAGCAAAGTTAAAAAAGCAAAACATTTTAGAGCACCTGTTATCTAATAACAATATTTTGCTGATTCACTTCTAAAAGTCACTCATCAACACTTCCACTGTAAAAAAGGAAAAAAGGTTTGTATATTCTTCAGCAGGCGAAGGATTCATTTTGGTATTTTGATTGTCTAGAGCATACAGAAGCTTCACAGCTCAGATGGTCTGCTTTTCAACAGTCATAGGACAAACCATTCAGGAACACTGTTACCATGCAAGTTTCAGATCTCAGGCCATCCCTTACATTTTGCATCTTCAAATCTTATAGGACACTACCACTGTGTTACGTACCTGTTAGCACACCCAAGTTGGAATTATCAAAGAAATTTGTCGGACGAGTCGGATTTAGAGGTTTTGGTAGGTCCTGAGTCACTGTTTCCTGAGAAACAGTTTCCTTGCAGGGTGAAGGTGTTTGCTCTTTAAAGAAGTATGACACTGCCTTCTTAGGAGACTTTGGTATTGTCTCTCGAGTAGTTTCTCTTGAGGATTTTTCTCTCCATTTTAGTGCTCTTTCTTTCCATTTCCTGACTTCTTCTTTCAGTTGAAGTTCTTTACTGCAAAGAAAAGAACCCCAGCATTCAATTAAGAAAAGTTTAAAGCAATTTCTTTAAGAAAAAATTCCTGAAGAACAGAGAGTTCCTGTATTTTCAGATGATGTGTGACAGACATAGCAGTATAATAGTTGTGTATCTTGAATTCAGAGGATTTTTTTTAAACTGAAATTCCTTCCAATGTACAATTCAAGTGTAGCTTCCATAATTTAAAAGATTCTTAAGAAAGTAAGCAATTTAAAGTTCAAAAGGCCTCTATGGCTTTATAAGCCATAAAACACTAGCTTTAAATAAAAGTTCATGATGTGAAATCTAAAATCAAGGGTTACTCATTTCTATAGGTCTCCCAGAAACATACACTAATGATGTACATAAATACATAAATGTACATAAATGATTTGACATGCTGCTAGTCAGCTGTCCGCTTACCTCAACAGAAGGTCATTTTGTTTCTTCAGCTGCAAGTTCTCTTTCTGTAGCTTGGCTTGTTCAGATTTTAGAACAAGTATTTGTGTGCTCTGCACAATACCACTGCCACCACCACAGGTAAGGGGTTTTTGGGGTTGCTGAGGATCTGCTTCTTTCAGCACTAGAAAATAGATTTATACAAATGTGTGTGCATAATTTGGAGAGTGCTTAAAATCAAACCAATACATTTTTTAGCCTATTCCTTTTTGTGGTCTTATATGTCAAACTTCACGGGGTTACAAGTGCCATTCCAACAGTTACTCTTTTTTCCACAAAAAATACACCTCCCACTATTCACACCGCAGGGAGATAATAAGAAACATGACAAATTCTTCACTGGGCCATTTAGAGGTAAACTAGTTATTGTTCCAGGTATGTCACAGCTTTGATTAGAACTAGGTATTCATATGTCAAGGAGAAAGTGGCAACATGAGCTACCACCGCTGCAGCTTATCCCTCCACAAGAGCAAACATGGCTGGAGAAAAACACAAGAACTGCTGTGATTGTAATGCAGTTCATATGTAGCTGATGGAATCTACTTTCCATCTCATCTTCCAATGCACCCAGTTCTCCTCATACCCTTTGAGTACAAGGCCTGCATCTCAATCTCATCTTGAAAGATTTAGCCTCAAAACTCAGAGTTTAACATGAAAGAGTCCCTTCTATTTATCTTGAATTTACCAGTAACATCTTGCTCTTGGTATGCTCTCCTCAGTTCTTCTTTCAGCTTTGTTAACTGCTGTTCTTGGTGTTCTGCAAGGGCTTCATAATTAGCAAGTCTATATGAAGCAGAAAGGGAGGGGGGAAAAAAATCACAGAAAACCTCAGTTTAATAATTATTACAGTTTCAGCTGAATTCCAATGAGCTATCAAATACAAGACACAGCCATGTTTTACAAGAAAAACTACATAAACCTGGTTGTCAGTTAGATTTTGGATAAAGTGCACCCAAAAGCTGCACTAATTATTTTTGGTGTATCCTTCTCTCTAATGAAGTAGAGAGTGCTTTCAGTTATTGCTTTCCCCTTGCCTTCTTTTGTGAGAACAGTTATTTCATATATGGCTGAACACAGTTGATTGAGAAATTTTGGTGGGTGTATAGGGAAGAAGTTTTGTAAGCAACCCAAAGTGTGTAGAGATTTTACTTTCTCTAACCACTATAAAAACTTACAACACCTCAAGCTGAATGCTAACTACTTATTATGTAGGAAAAGAGCAAAGCAGAAGCTAAGAATGAAGTAGTTGAGAATTGTAAGATAAAATTTGAACTTACTTCCTTTCAAAGAAGTTGGATTGTTTCATTCTTTCCAGATCACATTTTACCAATTGTGTTTTGAGATGGTCAATTTCTTCTTTGTACAGCTCAGCACCTTCATCTAATTTTGCCTGAAAATAAAATATCTAGTACAAATAAGGGCTTTTTACTTAGCAATGAAATTAAGGGATGTTTACCTTGTATCTTTACTATAGATCTGCTAGATTTTGCAGGACAAGACCAGGAGCAGGAAGTTATTTTCCACTAAGGTGGCTCACATTACCAACTAGCACTATAGTAGCAGTTGGTGTCTCACACTGGTGTATTACATTCTACCATATTTTAGGAAGTTTTGCTGACTTCTGTGCAGATATAAATCTGTGAATTCTAAATTAGCATGCAAATGTTGAGTAAATAGATCATGCTTCAGTTTAAAAGTTTTAAGATGTTTCAAGTGCTTCAGAAATGCATCACATACAAGTGACACATTTAGTTTATAGTATTGTAATATGGATTCTAAATGTTGCCACTGATGGTTGCACTGGTAGAATGTGAAACTGGCTGCCAAACAAGCAAGTGGAATTTACTCTAGGAATGCCATACAGAATAAATACATTGACTGGAGATATGGAGAGCTATGTTTCATCTACAACTGTTGTCAAGCCTGCTTTGTGTCTTTAATCAGAGGAGAAAGAGAAGAGTGAAGTATTTTGCTCATACCTGAAGACTCTGTTTCTCTGTTAAGGCAGTCCTGAGGCAATTATCCATCTCATTCAGTTTGGCTTGCAGTTGGGTGAGCTCACTTGTCTTTGTTCTTATTCTCATCTGTGCTTGTAACTTGCTTATCCTGTCATCTCTCTCTTTGATACTTTCTCCCACTTCATTTATTACATTTTCTAACTTCTGAATTTTTACTTCCATAGCCTATTGAGATACATCAGTCAGTTATGAGCAGTAACAGTAACAGCACATGGTCATATTCTTAGCAAGAACTAGTAAAAACCCAAACCACACAAAAAAAATCCCAACACTACAGGCTCTATAGCAACTCCTCATGTCCAAGTCACTGTTTTATGTCACCTTTTAATAGTCTAGAACACTCAAGCCTAAGAAAAGAAAAAGTGTTTTGGAGAGGGGTAACTGTGGCATAAAGAAATGAATTCTCAATTCTTGTGATTAAATAGAGAATTCTTCTCCAGCTTCATGTATAGTGAATACCATATACTTACAGGAAGCATCAACAGTATCACCCTATTAAAGTCAATACTTCCAAAGCAAATAAAAGCTTTCATATCAATTTCTAAACTCAACATCTATTTGTGTACAGAAATCAGGCCATTAAAATAATCAAGTTACAGGCAAGAGCTCAAAATTCCACTTTGGAAATAAAAGAGCTACTGAAATAAAGTGTACTCTATTTGTATTGTGGTGGCATAGATTTACAGTTGCCATCAATCCTTATTTTCAGTTTGGAGTACTCTCCCTTAGAAAGCAAGCATTAAAGAAGCTTTCCTTAGAAGCAAGTACTGGTACCTTTTTATCTTGTTCTGCAGCCTTTAATTTATTATGAAGCCTATAATTTTCTTCTTCTAATGCCAGACTGGCAGAGCCACCAGGGGCCAGTTTTTCTTTTAGAGTGTTTAGATCCTGAAGCAACTTTTCATTTTTCTCTTTTCTCTGTTTTAATTCAACATCAGCATTTTTACTATAATCAGCAGTTCTGGCATCCAGTTCTGAAGAAAGTTCAAGGAGCATCTGAAAATCAGAAGCATTACACAGAATATTTTTTTAATCTGCTAGAAATATGGCAAGTGAAGAAACAGGAAGTACCTTAGTCTGCATTATTATCACATTCTTGTTTCAGTGCCCCATTTGACAATGCTTGCTGTCAGAAACAGTATCATTATCACTCAAAGAACAGTTTAATTTACAAAAGAACAGGAGGAAGGAAGGGGCACAAGACACGATGATAGTGTATTGCAGGTTTACAAGTATTTCTGCATTAACTCAAACTCTAATATTAAAGAAACAAAATGAACTATAATGGGAAGACTTCTTGAAAGTCAGCCAGAGAAAACCTAATTATTCAGAGATTTTTCTTATTAGAATGTATTCACTGACTAAAGGAAATGAAACCTGCACATTGGACTATTCTAGAAACCCACATGTTTAACATGTCAGATAAATAAAAACTTCACAATTGTCAGGAAATGACAGTGTTTACTAGATTTTTGTTTGTTAAAAGCTTTGATCTACATAATATTAGGGTAGGGAATTCTTGTGAAAACCTTGCCAACACTGCAAAATCCTAAAAGTGTCAAGACAGACTATTGACTCTACAGAAGAAACTTAGAAAAATAGGCTAAACTTAAGATTTAATCAGAAAGATGAAATCTTGTGAAATCCTGTTCATAGTGCACTAAATCTTGAAAAATGCTCTCCAAATTTCCAAAAGAGGCCAGCGGTAAGCATGAGAAAGAAAGGAGTGCAAATATAAATTTGACTGAGTCAAAAATGGCTATAGTAGTTTTGATAAAGTTTGGCAAGAAAAGCAACATTTTTCATAATTCAGAGTAATAAAGCCCCAAATAAACAACCCTATTCCCATTTATTAACTAGAAAGTCTTTTAGAAAGCAACTTTTCAAGTTAAAAATATCTTTGAAAATCTTTTAAATATTCCTACATTTTACAGTTGAAGTATGAGTAAATGCTGATAATAAATGAATGATGATTGAAGAGCCTTTTCTGTGTTTTGTTTTCAATCATAGGCATTTGCAGTGCTTACACAAAATAGATCTCTGATTCTGTAACATTTAATTTTACCTTCACTTTAGGAGTCCAGAACTGAAAGATTTGCAGGAGTCTTTCATTATCTTTCTTTAGTTCTTCTTTCAATTCCTCTGTATCCCAGTGAGTTTCTGAACAAACTTCCCAGAACTGTATTGTTTCTTTTCTAGCACTTGCTTCCTGGTCTAACTCTGCTTCTATGCAGAGAAGTTCATTTTCCATTTCTGATACATCTTTGAGAATGCTCTTAAAAAAAAGGGAATTAAAATTTAAGTACTGGTTTGATTATCACATGTCTAAATGTACCTTCTGTCCTCTCACTTATCAGTATAGCAGGGAGTCTGTTTTAGCATCTAATTATCATATAAAAGGAGTTTTGCTAGACTTAAAATTACACCCTATTGGGAAAGCAAGAAGACAATCCATGTTCCTGGGACAGGTGGAAAAGGGGGGGGGAAAGTGCTTATTAGTAAAAGTTTATTCCATTGTTTTAGAACAAGTCATCTTGTTAGTGAATAGTATGTAATGTAGAGGGAAATTTAGTAAATAACAGTCACAACTATTTTCTAACCTAATAATTTTATTTTCAGCTGCTTTATGAAGCAAAACCTTCTTAGTATAGAACTAGCAGCATAAAAAAAAATCTCTATATTTCACCCCTCCCTTAAAAGAAGTTTTAACAGATAGAGCCAATGCCATTTGATTCCCACCACCACATGACCCCATGCCCTGGAATGGGTTTTTATTGTCAATTTTTTTTCCCCAAATATTACCTCTGCATCCAAACAGAAACTCTGCAGTCCTTCACAGCTGTTTAACTCTTGAGATGATACTTCATTCTGCTTCAAATTAATCTTCCTGAGACACTGAATCTGGGACTGTAGGTGATCTTGTTTTCTCTTTTCCTCCAGCAATTCCATTTCATACTTGTGAACAGTAGTGTGATATTCTCTTCTCTTTGTGCAAACAGCGCTGAAGAGAAGCTGTTGCAGAAGCACAGAATCTATCAGTGAGCCTGTTTTAAAATGGTACCCTGCATCCAGCTAAAATACAGTATTTTATAATTCAATCTACTTACTCTCTGAGTCTCTAAATGTCCAGGATAACTAACACATGACTAAGAAAATCAGGTTCACATGTGCATTATAGTAATGGCATGTAAGCCTTTTAGCTGAGAGCACTTGTCCAGGATGCTATTTGCTGCAGACTCCAAAAAAGCCAAGAAGTCTAAAAGGCCTAGACAGTCTTACACAAATCTAAACTTTGTTTATCAAAGTGTTCTTTGTTACATTTATTTTCTCTTGGAGTTGTGAAAGGTGCAGATGATCTATAAGAATAATATCATTGTGCTGATTTAAAACTTTATTCTAGCAGAGCTCACTAGTTGAATCTTAAACATCTTGAACCATGAAAGTTAAAAGCCAACTATGGAAAAAATTAAACCTACAATGTCTGTGTTAAGTTATAAAATGAGACCCTTTGGAATATTAGTTCAGCTTCCAAGTTAATGGTTATTTGTAGACATCACTGACTCTTAAGAACCTCAGCCCCTCTCTCTAGGCCTGTGCATGTTTCCATGCTCTAACCAAAAAAACCCCCAGCCCTTAATATTTAATGGTAAACAAAAGAAACAGAAAAAACTGTCATTCACTGTACCTCTGCATATGTTAACAGGAATTCTTCCCCAATCACCCTTAACCTTTTTGCTAATAATTTTAGCCCAATGGAGAAACTGATTCCAAACTGGGGAAGGCTGTAAAATCAAACTACCTGGGCAGTTTTGCAGAGTAAGGATGCATCTCCAAGCCATCTTGCATGTCTCTTTCCCCCACAGAGAAAGTCATCTATTATTTGATTTATAGAGTACAGAAAGGAAACTCCATTTTCCAATTAAAATGGAATAATATTAATGAAATAATTCTGTGCAAAGCAGCTGAACTACAGTTAAAAACTAAGTTTGATTTACATTTTCTAAGATTGTAAAGCAATTACTCTTCAGCTTATTTTCTCCAATGTATGGATTATCAAAACCCAAAGCTATAATATATAAAATCCTAGCTGTTACCATTGAGAGTTTATTTAAAAAAACCCCAAACCCAAATCCAAACAATATGAAGCATCCACATATTCAGCATTATAAGTTGGTACCTTCAATTTGGTCAATAATTTCTGGAGACCAGTGTTAATATTCTCATTTTTAGTTTGAAGCATTTTCACTTGTTTACTCTGCTCCAGTGGAAGCTGAGGCAGTATCACAGCTAGCAGTGCTCTCTGACTGTTCAGTTCACTCTTCAGCTTAAGAGACACTGTAGAGAGACATTCATATCTCTTCCCCATGCTTGGGAATTTCTCAAGAAGCTCCTAAATGCAAGAGAAACAGATTAATTTGTTCACAATGAGGAAAAGTGTGATTAGCTATAAACAGAAACATAAAATAAATTACCTGACTCCAGGACTAACCCCTACAGTATGTACTGGTTTTACAACAGGAAAAGTTATTATGATTAAGACTTCAGTTTTGACTTGCCATGGGGATATGACAAAAATACCAATCCAGGCACAAACATAGATAATTACCCAGGCAAAGTGCTTCTGTTTGAGGTTCAACAGCTGAACTGCCAGGTCACAACACACCCCATGCAGTGCTACAGGCTGGGGGAGTAGTGTCTGGAAAGCTTCCCAGCAGGAAAGGAACTGGGAGTGCTGGTCAACAGCTGGCAGAACATGAGCCAGGGTGTTCCCCAGTGGCCCAGAAGGCCAAGGGCATCCTGGCTTGTGTCAGGAATAGTGTGGCCAGCAGGACTACGAAAGGGATCAGCACTAGCAAGGCCACACCTCAAATCCTGTGTTCAGCTCTGGGCCCCTCACTACAAAAAGAACATGGTGGTGCTGGGGAGTGTCCAGAGAAGGGCAATGGAGCTGGGGAAGGGTCTGGAGCACAAGTCCTGTGGAGTGGGTGAGGGAGTTGGAGGTGTTTCAGCCTGGAGAAAAGGAGACTGCAGGAAGACCTTATCATTCTACAACTGCCTGAAAGAAGGGCATAGCTCTCTTTGGGAGTCAGCCTCTTGTCTCCAGTAATATGTGATAAGTTGCACTAAGGGAGGTTTAGACTGGTTATTAGGAAAAATTTCTGAATTGAAAAGGCTGCCAACCTCTGGAACAGGCTGCCCAGGGAAGTGGTGGAATCACCATCCCTGAAGTTACTTCAAACATGTGTACACCTGGCACTAAGGGACATGGTTTGGCAGTGATCATGGCAGCGCTGGTTTAAGGGCTGAAATCTATAACCTAAGAGGTCTCTTCCAACCTAAATGATTCTATGAGCCTGTATGACTAGTTATTTTCGTTGGGGTGGCTGGACAGTAATGAAAGCAAGTGAGATATTCTGTGAGCATTAAGTTGATGTGCAACCACTGAACAACAACAGCAAATCAAATGATCCCATGGTAGGCAGCACCTTAGCAAGACAGTCAAACCACTTTATACATAATGCACAAAAGGCTTATGCTTCATGACAAGTGTCATTAAGTTTCTATGTGCATCCTTAAAACAAACAGAAAAATAAGCTTACCTTAATTTTCAATGTTTTGTCTGTCAAGCTGTCATTGGCCACCTGCTCTGCAATATCCACTGGGTTTACCTGAATGGACATATTGTTCAGGTTTCTCTGCTTCATTTGTTCTAAAGCATCTTCCAGTTTTGCCTTTGTTTCAACACACAAAATAAAAACATATTTAAGTACCAGTTGATATGAGAAGTTATGAATAACTCAGGTATGCAAATTGCAACACTCACCATCTCAGAATTTCTTTGTAATTCTGTCTTGAGCTGGTCCCGCTCAGACCTGACATCCTGAAGAAGTTTTTGTAGCTCATCTTTTTCTTGATTAACCAATGAGATTTGTTCTTTAAGTTGTAAAGAGTGATTGGTTCTTTCAGCTAATAACAGGTCCTTCTCACATGAGACACTATTTAATGTCTCAGTTAACTGTTGAATCTACAATGAACAGTGGAGAAAAACGCAAATCACAAGTTGGTGGTTGTGGTCTTTATACACCCTATGAAGTAGTCAAATCAGTTGTGTCAAATACAAAAATCACAAATCCTAATCAGTAAAAAATCACACTAGTGGAAAAAAAAGTCTGGTGTTCTAAGCACATAGAAAAAATTTACAAGGAAGAGGAACAGCATGACACCCAAAAAGTTTATGTCAGTCGAATTTGGTTTTCTGTAAACAAGTGGCATCAAAGGAAAAGGCAATCAACCTATGTCTATATCACAAGAAAATTAAAATACATAGAAGATGAGCACAAAAGATGAACAATATATTTCCTCAACTGGAGAGTAATATTTGCTAAACTGAAGCAATCCTCAATTACACTCTTTCATCTACAAAAGAAAAATTTGACAGGTGAAAAGCTGCAAACTAAACAATATGAAAAGCATGAGTAGGCCAGAATTAGGTCCAAGATTTTCAAACATTGTCTGGCATTCAGAAAGTGTGCAAAGAACCAACTAATCAAAACTCAGTTAAGTCCACACTGTATACACAGGGCCTTTTAAAAAGGTGGAAGACATTCAATTTCTGATAATTATATTAAAAATGCACACATATGATAAATTCACATTCATTCTAAAACTGGACCAATCCAACGGGTTACAAGGCTGAGATCAGTAGACAAAGTAATTCCTAAAAATCAATCAAGAAATGTAGGCAAAATCCACTGCCCATGGTTCATGTATGTTTACCAACCATAAAGCTGGTAGGCTGAGAATAAAAATAAGAGTTTGTGCAAACGTTTAGCATACGAGTAATAAAACATCAGAATACAAAGTAGTGACTAAACACAAAAACTCCGCACCTTGTTTGTCAGGCTGTCCTTCAAAGTCTCTGACTGCCTCTGAACCTGTAACAAGTGTTCTTCCCTTTCCTTACAAGTCTCTACCAGGTGCTGAAGCTCATCCTTCTCCTTGCTAAGTGAAGTGATTCTCTCAAGCTGCTCACTCATTGCCCTTTCAGTTTGCTGCTTTTCTGCCACGAGGTCGCCATACTCAGCTGAGACACGAGTCAGCTTTTCAGTGACTTCAGTGAGCTGCAAAGAACAAATCCAAAGCAGGATTGGGATTTGTAATCACCTCTTGCATGGGCAAAAATAACTTGATGCTTTGGAGAAAATACAACCAGTAACATGATATGTTCCTAAGGTTTCTTGTCCCAGCAATGAAGTTTAGATTGAAGAGTGTTGTTGGATCATCATTCAGAAGCAGTGTCTGCACATATGGGTTGTTGTAAATGGATTGTTTTAAGGAAAATAATACCCCCAGTGGTTTCCTGCTACAGTGGTTTCCTGCTACAAAAAATAAAAAAACCCCCCAATTTTGCTTAAGAGCCAATCAAATGTCAGTGCTTCTGTCTCAGTGGAAGGCAAAAGTAAAACGTGGGAAAACACGCAAGACATTGTAAATCCATAAAAATGCCTCCGTTGCTCTATCCATAGTAGACAAGAGACATAACTGAGAGTTAAAAATGAAGCCTACAATCGACACTGGCTTCAGACATTAAAACAAAAAGCAGAGAACCAATTGATAATAGAGTAATAAATTAAAACACGATCTGAGCTGTCCTAAAGTTGCTCAAGGATCTTCAGAAGCACATAGCTAAATGACATTATTGGGATGCATAAAATTTAACACTGAGAAAAGAGAGAGAGTTTAAAGTGCATTGTTGATTCCAAATACTATTCATTCATTTAGCACCAAGACATGTTCAGTTACAAATAAAGGGATTCTTTAGTACATCTACTGGAGCTCTACAAACTGAAGTGTGCAGTAGACATTGGACCACCAAATTCAGCAGAACTTGTAATTTTCTTGACAAAACTGCTTCTGACTTTCTGCTGCCCCTCATCAGTTTTCTCCTTCAATGCCCCTCACACCTTCGAGAGGGTGTAAAGCACCAAAGATTCAAAACCCATTTAAGTTCATGCTGTCTACACAGTGCCTTTCAAAAAGGTGGGAATCTGTCTGCTATTAAAGATTACTGTATTAAATATGCACTCAGATGAATTCACATTCATTGCAAAGAAGAACCAATCCAATCAAGGTTACAAATCTGAGACAAGATAAGGATGTTATTGCTAAATATCAGTAAACAAATTTAGACAAAACCTTTCACCCAAGTTCA